TCGAAGAAATACACAAGGCAGTCTTAGATCTTCCTAAAGGCAAGGCCTCAAGGCCAGATGGGTTCCCTATTGTTATAACAATTCTGAAACTGTTGCCCCAAATCTTTTGGCCTTCTTGGCAGAATTATTTCTTAGAGGTGGCCTCAATTCGACCTTTAACTGCACGTTCTTAACACTTGTCCCAATATCGAAGGGGCAAAAAAATTGAGGGATTTTAGGCCTATTAGCCTTTTAAAATCTTTCTATAAGATTCAGACCTAGGTCCTAGCCACTTGCCTCCTCAGCAGTCTCACCTAACCAATCTGCCCTTGTTGCCAATAGACAAACCCTAGATGGGGCCCTCTTGGCCAGTGTTTCAAAAAGTGTTAGGTGGGCCATAGGCAGCCTGAGGGGTCCAAGCCTCCCAGCACCTAAGCGGGCGGCTCAGAACCTGAGCAGCCCAGTTGAATCCAAAAAGGATTCTACAGTCTCTAACAGTATATATATTGTATAAAATATAAGAATTAGGTATTTAGCGCACATCAGAAGTCAAAGTATACTACACATTAGCACACACTCCATAAGCATAACCATAAGTCAGTCCATATCCAATTAAAACTTAAAATTTACCAACCAAATAACCAAACCAAAGTTACCAAACACCAAACCAGTGGAACTACAAATCCACTATCCACAATACACAACCAAGAGGAAGAAAACAAAAATGAAAGTAATACTTGAAGACACAAAAGAATCTTCAATAGTTCAAAGTTTAATCATCATTCATCATTCATCATAAAAAAAAGTAGGGTCAGCTACATTTGCATCATATTCATCGGAGTTGTCACCCTCCTCAACATATTGGTCGTCCTCCTCCATCTCCTCTGAATCTGCCTCTTCTTCCTCCTCTTCCTCCACCCTCGTCCTCTATGCAGAAGATTTAGTAGCCTTAGGAGGGTGGGTCAGTTGATGCCCCTGAAACATCCATGACCATGTCTCATCTCAATTCTTCATACCCTCGACCTCATCATCATCAACTAACCACTCCATAGCATTGTCCATATTGTTTGATCTGATGGGGTCTCTCTTATCTCTCTTAGCAAACATGTCCTTCAAGAATCGATTGTACTTGATATAGACTAAGTTATTGAGCCTCTTTGATTCAAGCATGTTTCTTTTCTTTGTATGAATCTAATAAAATCAAATGAAACTAATTAAAATCTATGGTCCATGTATTACTAATACAATTATACAAATTACCCTTACAACCTTACCCATTTGTATTACTAAGGACAAATTTATCTTACATTGATTTCATTTATAGCCACCATCTCACCCTCAGCATGATGCGTAGATTTACAAAGAAGAAAGAGCTTGTGAGGCCTGAGGTCACGAGATTTGTGACCTGGTACTTATGCCTAGATAGCATATATTCAAGGAGAGTGCAGTTGAGACAGATGTTATCTCGGATGACTGGAGAGAATGCAAGTGGTCCAAGGATCAGATTAGGAAGAAGGTGAGAGATATTATCCTTTCTAAGGCTTTTTGGCGAGGGGTGAAGGGCGCTCTTAAGGTATTTTTTCCTCTTGTCAAAGTCCTTTGTATGGTTGATAATGACAAGGCTTCTATGGGCTACATATATGAAGCTATGGAGAAATGCAAAAGAGAGAACCCAAACTTTTGATGATGATGAGAACCGCTACAACCTTGTTTGAGAGATTATTGATGAGAAGTGGGATAGGCAGCTACATCGGCCATTGCATGCAGCTGGTTATTATTTGAACCCAATTTTTTTTTTATGTTGACAAGCATATACACACAAATGATACAATTATGACTGAATTTAATAAGTGCATAGATGTGCTAGTCCCTGATCCTGATATCCAGGATATTATATGCGTTGATGAGCTGATAAATTACAAGTGCTCATTAAAGTCTTTTGAGAGTCCAATGGCGATGAGGCAAAGGACCAAAATTGATCCAGATAGTACTAATATTCTTAAGTTCATCAAGTTCAAGTAATCAAGTTTCATTTTTATAATTCTATTATTTATTTATGATTTTATTCTATATCTTTGTAGCAAATTGGTGGAGCCAACATGGGTGTAGTTCTCCAAATTTACAAAAGTTGGCCATTCGGATCTTAAACCTAACCACTTCCTCATCCAGTTGTGAGCGCAATTGGAGTACTTTTGAACGGGTAAAGCCGTAAGGGTAATTTGTATAATTATATTAATAATACATGAACCATGGATTTTAATTAGTTTCATTTGATTTTGTTAGATTCAACAAAGAAAAGGAACAGGCTTGAATCAAAGAGGCTCAATGACCTAGTCTATGTCAAGTATAATCGATTCTTGAAGGATAGGTTTGCTAAAAAAATTAAGAGAGACCCCATCAAATCAAAAAATATGGACAATGTTATAGAGTGGCTATTTGATGATGATGAGGACGAGGGGCATAAAAGATTGACATGGGACATGGTCATAAATGCTTCAGAGACATCAACTGGCCCTCCTAGAGCCACTAGATCTTCTGCACAAAGTACGAGGAAGAGGAGGAACAAGAGGTTGATTCAAAAGAGATGGAGGAGGACGACCACTATGTTGAGGAGGGTGACGACTCCGATGAATATGATGCAAATACAGTTTACCCTACTTTTTTTTATGATGAATGATGAATAATGATTAAACTTTGAACATTGATTGAAATATTGAAGATTTTTTTGAGTCTTCAAGTATTACTTTCATTTTTATTTTCTTCCTCTTGGTTGTGTATTGTGGATAGTGGATTTATAATTCCACTGGTTTGGTATTTGGTAACTTTAGTTTGGTAATTTGGTTGGTAAATTTTAAGTTTTAATTGGATATGGACCGACTTATGGTAATGCTTATGGAGTGTGTGCTAATGTGTAGTATATTTTGAATTCTGATGTGCCCTAAATACCTAATTCTTATATTTTATACAATATATATGCTGTTAGAGACTGGAGAATCCTTTTTGGATTCAACTAGACCACCCAGGTTCTGGGCGCTCGCTTAGGCGGCCTGGACCCCCCAGGCCGCCTAGAGCTTTTTGAAACACTGAGTAGTACATAACTTCATTTTGGACTTCTTGTGTTGTGATCAATGTTACAAGATTCAAATTGTTGCACATATTGTTCAAGTCTCAAGAGGGAAGACCTTTTCTGATGGAAATTACGAAGTGTAGACAGCCCCTTAGAAGTTCTAGCTGAGGGAATTCCTAAAAACCTCAAGTTCTGAGGCTAAGTACCACACTAATCTTAGTGGACCGAAACCGATTAGAATTGTTCGAAGATCACCCAAAACCTATCCCAATACCCTCACATACTCATCCTAGACACCTTTGAGCCTTATGAACCTAGAAAACTGACCCAAACACCAATCTAACACTCAGAGACCCAAAACCGAGACCCTAAGTCCTAATCTTGTAGATCTCTCTAAAGTACCTCAAATTTGACCAAATTTGGTTTCAAATTATAGATGAGGTCACAAGCTTTTCAACGGTCCAAGAATCGCCTGAATACGACTTACAGTTAGAAAGTTATGGTTAGAACAAAATTGTTCAGGAAAATGATAGAATAGTCCTCAGCATGACCCACTTTGTGTCGCAAGCGGCATGATGGGCCCAAAGTCAGTTCCAACCTTCTGTAAACACTTTTTGACGCGGTTCTTTGATGGGATAAACACAAAAAATGACCTCTTTGCCCCTATCCCAGTTGGATTAGGACTCAAACTTTAGATCTAAAAAAATCAGTCATAGCCCTAGGCTAGGTCTATATAAACCCCTTCAAATAATTCCGAACAATCATCTGGAAAATCCCAAAATATTCCCCTAGAGCCTAGAAAATTCCAAAAATTAGGAAAATAACCCAGAATTAGGAAAACCCTCTAAAAATTAGGAAAATACGTAATAAATTAGAAAAAATCCTCGAAAAGCTTAGAAAATTAGGAAATTCTTCCAAAAATCCATGGGAAAATAGGAAAATCCTAAAACCCCAAGAAAATTAAGGAAAATCCCTAAAAAACCTTGGGTTAGAGACCCAAGCCCCAATCCTCTCAAAATTTCTCCAAAATCAAAATCCAATGAACAAATCCTAGATCCAAAACCTTAGAGTCGTGCTTCAAGAAAGCAAGAGAAGGCATCCAAATATGTAAATCAACCCGCGGTCTTGATATAGGCCCCAATTCCGAGTTTCTCAATTACACAATCTTTATTTCTCTTTTATTTATTTATTTATTTTATTTTCCTATTTTATTTTTTATTTTTTGGTTATTTCTTTATTTCTTAAATTTAGTTAGAATTAAAGCTTTTTAAGGTCTAGTAAACAAATTCTAGAGCTGGCGGTTCCAGTGGATTTAGAAGAAAACTGAATCTGCAAGATCTACAATGATTCTAAATCTATAATTTGAGCGACCCCCAATCTCTTTATGGACTATAAAATTTAACTTGTTTCGCAAGAGATTTGAGTTGATCTCGCTCAGAGATCAATCCAAATTCACGCGCAAACCAAAGACAATATTTGCATAAGCTTTAAACGAATTCTAAAACTATTGTCATGCTTGTAAGGCACATTCACAAGGAAGACAACTTAGGGCTGATTGGTAACAAGTCAGGCTACGAAAGGTTTAATTTGCATAATGCATGCCATGTTGATGTAGTAGTATTTTCACCTCTTCAGGAATTTTTATGAAAAGAATAGTTATTTACTAATAAAAAAAAAGCTACACACAAAAGAGTAATGGGAATGCACGAAAAACAGAAAGTAATAAAATAAATTCATTATTTTCTATAAGACCCCTAAGTAAAGCATTTGCATCACAAAACCCTGAACAAACTACTAACAGTGCAGATTAAACTCTAGACATGAAACCTTTAAAATGCAACACGAAGAAGCATCAGAACACATATTAATAGCATAGAAAAAAAAAAAAATATGGTACCATACAAAAATGCAAGGGAGAGTAACAAGCATAAATGTGGAATAGCAATTAACATACGTCTTCGAGAGCTGCAACTAAATCTTCCCTTGTCACTGTGTCAGGGTCCTCTATTCCTAGCATTCTCTTGCGCTCAGCATCTCTTGGATCCTCAATCATGACAGTTAACTTTACCTGAAATTTAAAGTTTAGAAAACTAAATGATTGTCCCGATAACCTGCTTTTAAATCATAGATAGGTAAATTGCAAAGATTTTGAGTTCCTTCAAACAAGGCATAAAGACATTACTAATTTCAAGAAACCAACATTAAATGGGTTAAAACGCGAAACCAACAGCAAAAGAATGCAGCAAAACTTACCCAAAAAAAAGGAACGCACAACAAGCATTATTGGGGAGTGGTACTAGGTAGGAGGTGCTTTCATACATTATGACTTAGGGTTTTACGAATTCCCTGGTTAATGATCAGATGGTAGAAAAGTGAAATGATGTGAGGGAGGATATAAAATCAAGCTATGCATGGTCAGGAATCAGAGGAAGCTATGAAATGGTAAAATGGTAGAAGTCCATAGGGGAGAGAAGCGCAATCACCCAGCTGTATATAAAAATGGCATTAAAGGAAAAGAGTAGTCCCTCGCATATATGGGCGTCTAAAGATTACATTTTTTAGAGCCGATGAGAAAAGACTATAAACTGAAATCTAATAGATGCTTTCATACTATTCTATATTAGGAACAACAGGAAAAATAATCTTGATCCCCCAAAGAAATGTTGGAACAAGATTGTTGCAGATTAGTTTAATCAATTCACAAGAACTCAGATTAATTTAGTGAATTCATAGGAACTCATTGAAAGTTTTGGGCGTCATTAGATCTGGAATTGCGATGGAGAATGATGGAATATCGAAATATTTTACTGTCGCACTGGAAGAAACATAGTATAAATCCATTTGGGGGTAGGAATGGTGGCGTTGAAACAGAATAAGCTAAGATAAAATAAGGAAAAATCTACCTACAACAAATCATAAGGAGACGCATGGAAATATGGAAAAGAGATCTCAAGGAACTACTTTGGATAAAGATGATTTTCAAATATATAGAAGAAAATAGAGGGGAAATTAGTGTCCCTTTCCTGTCCCGGGAATAGGAGTGGCAAAGAGCGCATCACAATTCCAGGACAAGAAAGTCTTCAGTTACAAATAAAGGGAGCCTTCAAGGGGATGTTTCTGCTCGACTGGGTGGGAAGCAGAAAAATTAAACATTACAGTAGCATGCAGGAGGAAGAAAATCTGGTCTTGCCAAAGTACCAGACTATGGTTCCAACCTTTTTCTTTTGGATAATTGGTGACAATAAACTAACAAAGAATATACAAGTTTGCAAAAAACCCACAAGTGTGGGATGAAGGCAGCTCACATGCTATGTGTTCTACGTAACTGCATAAAAAGAATACATGTGATGTTGAAGGGACCAGTGGAAAGAGGAGGCAAGAGAAAAAGAGGGAGAGATGAGATCATTTTAGGAGAACAAGAGAGAAGGGGGAGAGAGGGGAAACAGACGAAGAGAGATGAGAGAGAGAAGCATGACAGATTTAGGTGGGGGAGAAGATGAACAAAGGGGGAGAGATAGGGAAAGAGAATGAGAGAGGTGAGAGATGGAGAGAGAGTAAAGGAACAGTTTTAGGGGGCTAGAGAGAGAGAGAGAGAGATTGAAAAGGAGGACAAACAGAAAAAGGAGGAAGAGAAGATAGATTTGAAACTCTGGTTCCAACCTTGATAGCAGAAATTGTGGAACTCTGGTTCCAACCTTGATAGCAGAAATTGTCTCTAGTCTGGATAGCTTAGAGGGGACGATTACCCTGGGTCCAGCAGGAGGTGAAGGAAATAAATTTCGAATTTTGGATTCAAAGAGAAGACATTGGTCATTGTAGAGCATGGAAACAAACATGCACCCTATGATGGTTGAATATGCCAATAAAGAGTCAACTATCGGGTTTAGGAATTTGCTATTGGAGAAGGATCTCAATACTTACCAGACATCAATGATTCACTGCATGGAGCAGGAGTAGGAATATGTCTAAAGGGTTGAGGTTCAGTTGGCGAAGATGAAGTAAGATCATACAATGAGATAGAGAATTCGATACTGAACTCCTGCCAAAATCCCATGCAATCATCACCCAATCAACAACAAATGGGGCTTCTATATGTCCAATATAGCACACCCAGCTACAGAATAGCTTCAAGCTATGTAGAGTGAATGCAGCTAGTTTGGAGGAACTTTCAACTCCTTTAGCAATGGGGAAAAGGAACTACCAATACCAAGAAGGACTGAGATTCAGGAGCCTCATCCAAACAAAACCATGGCCAGATGCCCAACTCCAAGACACAACTACATAACTCCTAGAAAGCCTACTACATAATCATAGGCCTTATCTAGATCAATATTCTTGGCAAAACTAAGAATCATAAACTTAGGCCTCAATGAGCTTGTGAATCATTCAAGGAATATCTAGATCTTCCTACCCCCGGTAAACCCCCTTGGATTGGACGTATGAAATGAGACACGATGTCCTTAGGTATGCTGTAGAGGACTCCAGTAATAATCCTATATAGCATGAAATCTGGAAATGTTATCTCGCATGAAATCTTGGAAGTAGCACTAACACCATTAACCATCATATTCCAGAAATGGAATTCCCAGAAGGATGCCATACGGTCCCTTGTAAACACCCTGGAATTTATCGATGGATGCACCAGGAATCCATACAGAACACTAGCAGACCAACGTTTTGTCCATCCACGTTTTAAACCATCCAATGCACTCCCAAATTCTTCCGCACTTATCAGATGTTTTCAACCATATGAAGTTGTACTAACATTTTTGCCTATAGCAAAACATCTCAGAAATAGGTATGACTGAATGTTTGCCCGAGTAAACTTCCAGGATCATCTTTAGCCGCAGCAAAAAACTTGCAACAGCGGGGTTCGGAACATTTCCCGCAGTTACCTCCGAGTTCAGGTCATTTTCTCCCTTGTTTCAAACTAAAGGCCTTTGCAAGGGTTCCTAAAGTAAACTGAAAACGTTCAACACAGAGAAGCACATATTTACATGTTATGAGTGTACATACATATCTATGGATGTATGTATACATCCAGTAGTGTTTTATGCTGTTGCAAATAGACACCTATGATGATTTTAATTTGAGGAATAGCTAATCACCATCTCACCAAGCTAACATATTAAAAGGTTCAAAGGATTGCAGAAAGCACCACTAGAACTGTTACGGTTCATCACATTATAACTTGTGTTGTTCAAATACTCTATGTATAGAGAGCGAGAGAGATGTTTGAACGAATGGTGGCCGTTCTACAGTAATCCAAGCTTAAAAAAGGTGTAGACGGACTAACAATGAAATAAAACCTGAAAGTAGTTCTGTGGTAAGAAATATCTCCTTGTAAATTCAACCCACGGGGTCAAGATAAAAACATTGGGCACAGAGGAGCAAGAATGTGTGCAAAACTAATGGAAGCCAAGGTCCAAGAGGTTATTGCCATAACTGAAATTCCGAATTTGAATTCCATTTAACCCAACGAACCAACTATCCATTTTGACGGGCACAATCTGCTCATCTTCGTTTAACTCTTACAAACCAACCAAATGAGACCGCGATTGGAGACAACGCTATGAAGAAGATAATATGGAATAAAGAATACATAAACAGTTCACATTTGCTTGAAATTTTCAGAACGTACAAAAGTTTCTGATAACTAAGCTTCAGGCACCTAACAATCAACGGCATAAATGTAGTGAACAAACAAAAAGGGTTCTAAGTTCATACTTCACTGAAAAGCATGTCTCTGTTTTTCCGCAGAAGCTCCAACACCTAATCAAAGAAACCCAAACGATATTCTGTATAAAAGCCAGAAGATTGAGAGGTCCAACAAACAAAACACAACTCAACTGGTTAGAGAGAGACCAGTTTGATTTGCTCAACGTATTGAAGGTCCTGGTCGTCGTTTACTTCTTGGGGTTGGGCAGTAGGAGCTCGCAGTTGGATGTCTTGCTCGCCCCGTTGCGCATGTGTGGAGAGAGAGAGGAAGTTGGAGGAGGAGCGAGAGAGAAAGATTGAGGTGAAAGAAAGAGAGTTGGAGGATGGCCATCTCAATACTGGCTTTGGCCTGGGGTAGAGGATGGGGCGCCCTCCGCCACTCCACACTGCGCAACCCCAACCTGCTGCCGCTGCCGCTGCCGCTGCCATTGCCATTCACCCCTTGAGAGCCATCCTCCGCAGCCTAAGATATCATTTGCAAGTTTGTCTTGTTCTCCCAAAAGAGGTTTGAGTAAAAATAGGGACTTTTACTAACGAGCACGGACACTATGCTCCGTAAGTTACTTTAGGCAGGAGTATAACCACTACGACGGTTTTTCAATTTGAAATTCTGAACCACTTGATAATTATTAAATATTTATTTCAATAAAAAAATTGAAATTTAAGTCTTACAGCATTTTAAATCTTATTATCAAAAAATTGGATGGTCTTTATTAAATCTCTTGACATTATTTTTTTAATAGAAGGTACAATTAAGGTTTTTTATAATTCAAATTAATCTTTGAATTGAAGAGGTCACATCTCCAAATTTTGAGGTCCTAAAATTAAGTCTTGGTAGGTCTTTTTCGAGGAAGTAAATGGTCATATCTTTTGGCCTTACTAATAAGGGAAAGTAACGTAACCATTCTTTAGGGATATTTAAAGAAGGGTGAGGTGCACATCTTACACTATACAAGTAAGAGACACTTCTAAATTTTGGGAAACATGTAGTTCTAGTGTCAAAAACCTTATGATGGCTTGAAAATGAAAGTTGGACTATGTGATCAAACACAGCGTAAATTAATTTTTTTTTTTTTATTTTATTCTTACATCGTTAAGACTACTCACAATGTCCAATTACAAACAAATAACTCTTGAAATAAATAAATAAAAGAAATGAAACATGGTTCTCACTTGCTACTACTATTTAATACAATTCCTTAAATCAAAACATTAACTCACTTTTTTATGGGAATAGAAAAGCTCAACACAAATATAAAATTTAAAGAAGTAAAATTGTGGGAGATTACCTCAACCGGGCTTAGTACGCCTCACGCTGAGTCTCCTCTCGATGGTGCTCGGGATCTATGATCGGTCTTTTGATTATCTTACTTATGGTAAAACCCTCTCAATATCATGTGGATCTCGATCTAGAACCAACTACCTAAGGCATTAATGTATTAGTCTTGCCTAAGCCCCCTTGGCTTGGTCTTTAGAGATGAGAGATGGAAATAAAAAAGAGAGAGGGAGAGATCCACTAGCTAGAAGATCCTCCTTTTTGCTATCCACAAACAATCAATCCAAGAAGCTAGGGTCGTGCCCTTTTTTGAACCCAAGAGAGATCGGCTAAGTTGGAGAGCTACTAGGTTTGAGTGTGCCCTTTAGAAAGCTTAGGGAGAGAGATGATGCTCTAGGTCGGGGCATACCCCCTTTAGATAGAACTTAGAGAGATAATTTTGGGAGAGAGAAGAGATGTATATATTTAGTAAGGGAGGAGAGTCCCTTTTATAGATTTTATTTGCCTTAGGATTTGTCATATTTAGTGAAATCAAATATTGACCATCGATATAGGGAGACTTGTGAGGTGAGAGATGTGAATCATCTATTCCTTTGATCCACGATCAAGATTCCAAAAAATGTGTTAGAATTTTATCCTCCATTTTTTAAATATATTCCCATCAAATATTTAGATAAGAAAAATATTTCTCGTATTTTCTCATTTAGTAGATATTCATTCATTATTTCTTGAATCAAACAATCTTGATATACAAGACTTTCAAAAAATTCAATAATTGAATTCGTTGTACAAGTTGGCTTCATCTAAAAGTAGAAAGCCAACTAACATGAAATAACTATCACCGTATTTGGAGATTTAGTAATCCCCTATGGGTGGGGCGTCCGACCCTTTGGTGGCCTCTTATGGACCCTACCTAATTACCACAAGTGTTAAATGGGCATATATATTTTATGAAGGGTCCCATATAATTTTAGAAATATTTTATTTTGATTTTAGAATTTTAAATCTCATAGTTTATTTAAAACATTGGAAAATGACTTTATTTTAATTTATGAATTCAAATCACAAAAATAAAATGTCAAAATATTCACAAAAATTCAAATAAACATTTTAAAACTCATATAATATAAAATTAATAGAGGCAATTAAGTTTGATAGGAATCAAATCTGTCTAGGTCTAATAATTTATCAATGCACTGAAGCACTCCACCTTCAACTGCGGACTATGATCTACCTAGCTTTCTAAAACTGGCCCAGCAGTTCCCATGGTCTACAGTCCACTATAGGGGCTCGTGATTGGACCACCAAAGTTAACTAAAAAACTAGGAGACACAATTTTGATATGTGGATTTTAAGTTCTCCCCTAGAGACAAACCATGGTCCGTCAGACCATGATGCAACAACACCTCAATGGTGCATAGGGGTAATCTCTCGCACATGTATGCGTTCAACCCTCAATGGTGGATCACTATCTTAATATGGCTATCTATGTACATGCAATGATGAGGTTTTGTCACACCCCAAGAATTTACAATACTTTTATTCC